AGAGCGCACTTTGCGCGCATTCAGTCATGGCAAACCATGCACGCAGTAAACTGCTTGCTTTCATGTTAAATTAACAGTGGTTTGTGTTTTAATGCTTTAATAACAAATAATTTATCAGGAGGATGTATGGTGGCGACACGTAGGCTAACTTGAAAGTATTTGTAGGTACAGAAAAAAGTGTATTTGCGGGCGGGAGCGGGACAAAACAAATGTTGCGGGCGGGAGAAAGAAAGTTGAGAACGTCAGTTATAACGACCCACGCATTAAAAAATGGTCGGGTTAAAATCGGGCTCGGGCTCATAATTACGTTTAATGTGTCGGGCCGGGCCGGGCCGGGCTTGATTTTTTGGGCCGTTCTAAGCTCTAATTTGTAGCCTACTTATCATTTTGATACTAATAAAGCTAATATAACACTTACAGCATGTGTTGCCTTCATTATAAGGCTTATATAACGCTTTTAATTTTTTGCGGCTCCAGACAGATATTTTTTATTTTTTTTGGGTCCAATATGGCTCTTTCAACATTTTGGGTTGCCGACCCCTGACCTAGGCCTATTGTCCTGCGCGCACAGCACTGAACTGTCCCCCAACCCCCCACAGGCTATCGGAGTCTGAGGCTGATTTAACACAAAGAGAAGTCGTAATTCACACTTAAATCGCTATTCTAGACAGTGTTGATAATGAAGGAATTAAATGATTTAAGTTACATGTAGCCTAGTGAAATTTCTGTCATAAAAGTTTATTACTAAATATTTCATTATTTCAATAATTGATGAAATAAAACTGGTTTGGGGCAGCTTTTTCCAAGCAAAACTAAATATAATCTGAAAAAACGCATGTTCATTTGTTGTCATGAACAAAATGTTCAACTTAATATTAAATTCTACAGGGATCTTTGGATCCTTTCAACCAGGCATGCAATTTGTGAATTAAGTTTTTATTATTTTTTTTATTATTCAAATAAATATCGAACCACGGTGCTTCGTGGTAATGCTGCTAAATTAAATAACATGTAGGCCTATAGAATAATTATGAACTTAAATGAAACAATATCGCAACATTTCGACAAATACATTATTTGATCTGTTTTTACATTTTAATTCAGGGCGATTTAGCCTGCTACATTTCATTAGAGCGAGATTTTCACCCTTGTCATTTTCTCATTGGGAAGCGCTTACATAGGCTACATGTTTGAGTAGATCCTCTGTACCTCTCGTTTTCATATGGATTACATAATCAGATAACATTTATTAGCCTGAATATTTAGACATTTAAAGGCATTAGACAGAGCCGATTTCTTATAGTGACTGAGCTGAAGTGGCTTTCGGTTCATTTTTGTGACGCGCAGTTCCCGGAGACAGAGACGACAGATAAACTTTTGTCGTTAGCAAAAGTTCGAATAAAACCCGATTTTAGAAAAATGCATAGGGCCACTCGGCGTGGTCTGCCAAAACACTTAATTATAAACTTCAATATTTCATTCAAAATAATCTCAAAACGCTTTGTGAAATTTTGAAAAGCCGTGCATGCATTAAGGCCACTTGAACTATGGACAACTGAAACGCTGGTTTTGATTTTATTGTTTATCGTTGTTTAAACGTGCTTGTTCTGTTGCATATCTCTATTTTATATTTGATATGGTCTATTGGTGAAGTAGCCTATAGCATTGATTACTGTGGAGGGAGGGGTGTGGGGATTCAAATAATTCAGCAGAAGCAGGGATGTTTAGACCAGAAGGAAATCCCCGTCCCCCTGGCAAATCACACTTTACTTAAAACCATGTTTTTAAAAACTCTAGGTTGTAGGGAATCAAAAAAATAATAATAATAGGCCTAATAAAATATATATATATATATATTGGCTATATATATAAAATTACTTTTTTTACAGAACTGCTTTTGAAATTACGATTGGCCTCATACGATTGGTACAGATGCAAAGTCGTTCTGTTGGATACTATTGTTCCTTAGTGTAAAATGGAAATGCATGGTAATTTTATTTTATAAATATAAGCAAAAAACTGTATGGTGTACCAGAGTTTTAGAGCTACACAAATCTCTCTGCATTAATAAATATAAAATTTACAATAGACCATGTTTGTTCGGGATTTGAACCCGTGTCATCTTGATGATCGAACCGTAAGTTCTACCACTCGGCTATGAATTTTCTCACTGAGAAATGCCTAAACGTTTGTTTGTCATGAGCGAGAAAACGTTTTGTCGTTAGCCTGTGAGTGTAGGCCTACTTTAGCCTACATGAATAAAAGTAGACCTTTTACAGTTTTAAAAGATGATATCTTATCTGTATGACCAACAATTACGCAGTAAGTTCTTTTAGCTGTTATGAGAAAAATAAATTCAAATGAACGCGCCGCCGCGTTTGTCAAACTCTAATTCAACATGCCAGAATAAAGCCAGATTTTAGAATAATGCATAGCCACTCGGCGTGGTGTGCCAAAATACCCTAATTATAAACTTCAATATTTCATTCAAAACCATCTC